AGCCGCAGCTGGTCAGGCTGTGGCGCACGCTTGTCCCAAGGTCTTCCCCACCCACCCAGCCCCTGCCAAAACAACTGTTCTTGCACAGTGGGATAGGGCTGGGTGGGATTTGGGATTTTGGGGAGGCGGGTTGGTAAAGGGAGTTTCTAGACATCCAAGAGCTGTTCCCAGAAATGGTCCAGAGGAAACTACAAGCACTGGGAAGTATGCGAAAGGAGTTGGAGGGGAGCGCTGGAAAGAGGAAAGTGTTACAAAGAACAGGGTAGTGTGGGATTTAAGAGAGGGCTAAAAGGGAAAAACTAGGAGGGAGATGAGGTGCAGGAGGAAGAAAAAATGATATTATAGAGATACAGAAATAAAAATAAGAGAACAGGAAACATAAGAATATCTAGGAAAAAGGGAATCTTTTTTTTTCCTCCCCTCCTCTCATCATCTATTCTTCAGCAAAGCTGATCTTTCTGTGGAAAAAAAGACAGCATGATTTCAAATATTACTTGGCATTGGGACCACCATGTTTTCCACTACCGTCGTGTAATACAGGATCATCTCTGTCGTATGTGCTCTTCCAGGATGCACAGGCCCCCCCTAAGCCTGTACACAGCACACCTCTGTTCGGTCCTGCCCTCACCTCTAGCCGCTGCTGCAGCAAAGAATCTGCAGTAGTATTGTCACCGCTCTTGGCAAGTGGGAGCAGAGGAAAGGGGGAAAAAGGGCTTAGGCAAAGGATTTAATTTTGCTATCTTTTGGTATCAGGTATTTGGAATCATGATGCTAATGTGGTATTATTTAAGTCTGTGAAAGAGCTAGAAATGGCAGGAATAGGAGTCAGAAGAGGAGAAGCAGTAAGGAATCCCTTCCAAATACCCACATTTTTCTACATGCACCTAATGCTGAAATTTGAACCTTGTAGGTTTCCACAGTACGCTAAAAATTAGAATATATATTTAAAATATATAGGTATTTTTAAAAACTATTTTTCTGTAGTTCACTGCAAAGTGACAGCTAAGGAAACACATATCCTAAATCTTTGGCCTTGGAAACAGTGTTATTTCAGTACAGCATAAAAAGAAAAAAAAATTTAGGTTTTTTTGAACTCATTTCATGAAAATGTGTGTGAATTAGTTATTTTGATCATAAACACCGTTTTATGAATACAGTAACTTCATTTGGCAAATGAAATGTGAGGTGATACGCAGACTTTTTGCTCAAAGTCATTTCAGAACCAAGATACATTTATGGTACTGTCCTTTAATTAGTCACATATTCTCCTTGGAGACTCTGTATCTGTGTATGTGTACACTGTTTCTAGGCTTCAGAATACTTTATTTAAAAACCATTTCCAATTTCACTTCCAACTGAAGCTTAAAAATAAATGTACTTATTCTTCACCTTTTTATGCCCAGTAAAACCAAAGTGTTTTGCAATTACAAAACCTACGGTGAATTTGAAGGTGAGTCATCTAAGTGGTTTTAAATAATTGTCATTCCTTTTGAAGTCATACAAGTCTAGCTGTTGCTTAAGCAGAAACGTTACTGTTTTCAGTATGTGTATTGCCTGTCTGAACCACAAATAAGACATAATTAGCATACGATAGTTGTTGATATATTACATGCCACCTGAAGAGACACAAAATATTCATTTTGATGTGCAAAAGTATTTGTGCCTCTAACAGCTATTAGTTTGCATGTTAAAAATATAATAAAGTACTATGATGAACTTAACCTACTTCTGGTTAAGGAGAGAAGAGACCAGATTATGTTAGTGAGACGATATTCCTCTGCAGACTACTTTCATTTAAACATCATTTCACAATAAACTGTAGAAACTTTGTAGCAGTGATGATCAATTTTAATCTGGAATGTCAGGTTTTAAAACAAAATACTGGGGAAGACAGCTCATTGCGACTCTGGTTGAAGATAATATATTTGTGTGGAATAGCACCTCAACATCCTAGGTGATGATGTTCTGAAGTACCATTTTGGGAGTATTTTAAGGAAAGGTGTATCAGTGATCTCAATTTCATTTTACAGTTTGTGTGTGTGTGTGTGTGTGTGTGTGAATGGTTTTGCCTTCAAAGCACAGGAATAGAAGAAATTTATACTTAGGATTGAAAGTAGACAGAACTTAGTAATCGATGAACAATCAATACCACAGGAAAAATTAGAGCCTGGGTACATGATGCAGACATTGCTTTCTCTTTTTATCAACTGCAGTTTTCAAAGAGATAAAAGATTGCATTGGTAATGGTTTAGAATAAATATTACGTAGAGAACATTTTCCCTTCATCATTTGTAAGCTGTGAGAATGGTAGTGGAATATCATGGAGAATAAACTGAAAAGGTAGTTAAATAATTAAGAATTTTCTGATCATATAAGAAATCGATGTACAGTATCATCTTGCACTGTTTAGAAAAGTATTAGTTTAGGTCAATAAACTGAGTTAAAAATCTCATAATATTAAAGCTCACCTTCTTTTGTCATATTTGGCAGTGTAGTCGTGTATTTTCAGAATTAAAGCAATAGAAATGTTTGCACAGTAAAGCTTTTGTCATTATATCAACATAAGTAGAAATGCCAATAAATTGTAATAAACGGGTAAACTACTGTGTCCTGTATTGCTTTGAACTAAAGCCTTTATGGAGAGAGTAACTTGAACAGAGAACTGTAGTACTTCCCTTCCTTCCATAATCCATACAGTTTTTGAACATTAACTGTTAGTCTGTTGTTCCCTCTTGCACTTTAATGTACATGGAGAAGTTTTTTATTTCACATTTAAAAAGTCCACTACACACACAGTAAGGGATTACTGCATAGTAATAGTTTGGTTTTGACCAGGTAGAGAATGATTTAGGTTAGTTTTGGTTTAAATGATTAAATTTGGAGGATTGAAGCATCATTTGAGAATCCTATGTTCTTATGAAGATGGTTGATTAAGGTATTTAAATTCACTGCACTAGAGGACAAACTCAAAGAGTTTGGGGAACTTGGACAACACCAAACACAAGCTCTGAAAAGTCTCTGAGTACCAGACTTGTGCTTCCCACAGATTAGGCTTCCCCTTGGCTCTTTGTACCTGTTAAACATATAAGACATTTAGGCTTTAATGTCTCTTCCCCAGTTCCCCTAGCTTTGAAAAAGCACTGGTAATTCCGACTTAAGTTTTTTGAAGATAAATTAATGAATAAGAGCTTTTTCATCTCTTTGAAGCTGAAAAATATAATAAGGTTTAAGTATACACCTTTTTGTCATTGTTAACCTGTCACAGCATTAAATGCTGAAATGCAGGCATTGGGGGAAAAAAGGAGAAATGATGATTAAGATAATAAAGAAGCCAAGATGCAGATCAACTAAGGAAGATAAGCAAATAAAACAATTATGGAAAGAAAAGAGAAGGAACAGAGCAGATTAAAAGGCACAGCTCTGAAGAACGGGAAGAAAATCTGAAA